ATTGGCCAAGTGAAATCACGTGGCCAAGCCCAAAGTCATTGGGGAGAGATAGTGTGTCCCACTCCCAGTGGAAGGGAGATAGAAGTGAGGATTTGCTGAACAATAGTCTAAACTATCATTACCCAAGAACTGTTACATCCAAACTTTTGTTAACTGCTTCATTCTCAAACATAAAAGGACAGCCAAGCATCACCATGTATTTTAGGAAAGCTTCTCAAATAATGGAGTGTCTAAAACAGACAAACAGAAAAAAGGCAACTGAAGTAATACCTAATGAGCAGAGGAGAATATTTAAAATACTATAATATTGTAATAGATAAGGTATTATATCCATAAGATAAAAATAACAGGTTTGTAAAAAAATGACGATAAGAAATAGCTTATAGAAATGAAAAGTGTAGTAGAAATCTTTTCTTAAATTCAGTAGAAGTTTTGGAAGATGAAATCAAGGGAATCTTTCAGAAGTTAAAATCAGATGATGAAGAGAGAGAAGATATAAGAAAATTAGATGATTAATCCAACAGAGCCAAAAATGGAAATATTAAAATGTATGGCATCAAAATACTTTAAAATAATAATACAAGAAGACTCCTCCAAACTGAATAAGCTTCCAGATTGAAAAGGACCCACTGAAAACCCAGCAGAAAGCATGAAAAAAGACCCATTCTGAGGTCCAACGTTGTAAAATTTCAAAATGCCAGGGAAAAGGAAATGATTATAAAAGTTTTCAGAAACAAAAAAGCAAATCATAGACCAAGCACTGGAATCAGAACAGCTTAGGACTTTTCAGTTGTAATATTTGAATCTTGAAGACAGTGGAGTAGCCTTTAAAAATCGTGAATGACAATTAATTTCAACAGAGGTTTTTTTTCTAGCCAAACTACCAAGTATGTGCTTAGAATAACAGCATTTTCAGGCATACGGATACTCTTAAAAATGTGTTTTTCATGTACCCTTTCTTATGAAAGTTACCTGGAAAATGTGCTTCAACCAAAAAAGGGAGTAAACTGAAAAACAGGATGATTTACAACCCAGAAGACTAGGGAACTTTAGTAGGAGTATGGATAAGACTTGACCCAAGAAGGGGATCAACCAGGTCAGACATAAGACACCAAGAAGGATATATCCAGGAAAATTCTTTTTAGAGGAACTGATAATTTATCTGATGTGTTTCATTATTTGAGAAAATGTTATTGATGGGTATTTGACAGATCTGTTTGAACATTTGGGGAAAAATGTTAGTTACCTAGAAAAATAAACTACGAGAAATTGGCAGTTAATTCCAGAAATAATAAAATATTGTACAAGAAAATTAATTTAAGCAAAATAATACTTGTCTCAGTAGAGAACGATATTTCTATAATCATTCTAATGTAATTTATCTACTGACTCATTATTCAGCCAAAATTGTTATATGGGAGGATAAGGTGGGGATGTTGGGTGAATGGCATGAGAGACCTAAATCATTACGTTTTTTTAACATCGGAAGTCAATAGAGTATGTCTAATACTGCAAAATCAAGAAACAGCATTCTAAGTATGTCGTTTAAAAATATGAAGATAAGTGTCTGAAGAATGGATAGTGTGTGCCGTGGAAGATTAAGCTTGGAGACGGGTGAGGGGTAGAGAGCCTGGGCACTGCCCTTCTTTGTTATGAGCAATTGAGTACTATTTAACTTAAATTAGGTGCATTACCTTGATAAGATAAGTTAATAAATAATAAAAATAAAGTTACATATGTCCATGATTAAGAAAAAAGCTTCCTACAGTATAGATTATAAATGAGCAGTAATGGGTCTCCCTTTCTCCATATCCCTTTGGCCTTGGTGTACTGTTCGCCTGAGGTAGCCACCTTGACATGAAGCATATCTTTTGGTAAAGTGTAAAGCTATCTGGACTTGTCTTTGCCCCGTTAGCCAAAAGATGGCTGCACCAAACTGCACTGTAGACATTGCAGGTTAATAGCGTGCTTTGAGAGGCATGGACAATTGGCCTATGACTGTGGTTGCTCTTTCATCCCTGAGCCACTCTGTACAGCCAGGGAAGCAGCCCTGACCTAGTTGGGTGAGGCAAAGGGTTGTCCTGCCAGTGGGAGCATGGCATTGCTGGCAAGAGAGGCCTCTTCTTACTGTTGGAGTTGGTGCCATGGCAGATTTTCCTGACTCGGGGAGCGCGTGTTGAGCCCTGGTCCAGCTGGTTAGATTATGTGTTGGTTTTGATTATCTGCACCAATAAGCCCTTGTTCTGGCACAGATGATCAGAAGCAGGCAGCAATTTTCCATCCTCCTAACAAAAATGCTTTTTGCATTTTGAAATTTTTATTCACTTTTCACCAAAATAGTGCTTTATAGGGGAAATCTTGGGTTACATCCAGAACTCTTTAGTCCTCAGTGGTAACCAGGTATCTTTAGGCAGGCCATTTTTTTTACTCATCTCTTTGCTGCTCTTGAAAGATAGAGAAAAAAAATCAATAATAATAATGATGATACCAGCTGCCTTTTATTCATCTTGTACTATGTGCTAGGCACTCTGCTGAATATTTGTCATCTCATTTAATCGGTTCAGTAGTTTTAGGAGCTTGCTACAGTTATCACTCCCATTTTAGACTCAAGACACTTCAGTTGTTCGTAACAGTTGAGTGACTTGTCCAAGGTCACAGAGCTGGAAAGTGCCAGAGCTGTGTCTGAACCCTGATTTATGTTGACTCAGGCCTGTGTTCTTTATCTCTGTTTGACTGGCTTCAATGCAGCCTTTGACTTTTTTTACATGAGATTAAGAAGGCAGCTTATTTTACCAATATAAGGTTACATATGTTGTTATTGTTGCATAGTGCTTATAAAAATTGTTGCATCTTTTCTTCTTAAGAAACTTTGGAATTTTATACATTTTCTATTTCTATCATTCTTTTGTATCCTCTCAGTTCAAAATTCTGGAGATCATTGATGTCTCCCCAATATCTCTCCTTTTATTTCCATATACTCACCATGTTCCCTTTATATTTCTGTGTCCCCACTCCTCGCATCTAGAATATTGCAACTATCATTTTGTGGTCTCCCTATTGCCAGTCTCTGCCCTCTTAAGTTGATCATACACATTGATCCAGTTTTTTCAAGCTCAGCTTCTCTCATATTGCCTATCTGTTTAACCATTAGTATCTCCTCATTATCTATAAGGAAAAAAAAAACTTTATTAAGTAGAATTCAAGATCTTTCATTATGTGGTCTACTCTATCATTCCATGAATTTATGTGCCCTTACTGTCTTTCCCACTTCTCTTGCCTGTACTGATATGTCCCTAATGTGGCCTAGGGAAGCACAGACTTTCTCTAATACTCATTTGTTGTTTTTATATGCTTTGCATCTTTTTGTGTGTGTAAGCCTCATTTGCCCAACTGAATTGTTAACTCCTGAGTATAGAAATGGAAACTCTCTGAGTCCACCAGAATATTTAGTACAGTTTCTTACATATAGCGCTGTGTGAAAAATTAATGAATGAATTTTTGAAGTTTTAAAGTCAACATATAATTCCAATTCTATAATTCTTTGCTTCTGTTAATTTCATAAATTTTAGACAAGTAAAACTTAGTAGACTTTTCCATTATGTTTTTCCATCTCTTTAATTGTATTTAATTATGAGAGGGAAATATGTTGGTATAACTTTAACAGTTTAAAATATGTTAAAGAAACAAATCAGTTTCATTTAGTATTCTAATATGAAAGATACAGGAAATCTGCTCTGAATGAAAGTGATATACTCATTGTTATATAGGTTTTTAAAAATAAAAATATTTGAGAACTTGTAATGTTTCATTATATTGTTGGTAATGTACAGTTTTGATGAGGATAAACTGAATATTTATAGTGTAATAAATGTAAAAAAATGAATTATTTGGTTTATCTCGCCTGATATATTAAATATAGTTGGAGATTGTTCAGAATATTGAGTAACAGCTCGAGAAAATTTGAAATGTACTTAAATACTGAGTTTAAAACACTCTACTTAGACATGATTTTGTTTTCCAAAAGAGGATTGCATTTTTGTGTATTAAAATTGCTTCTTGCCTTCTGCTGAATTTGAAAATGTTTTTACCCTTTACTTTCCTCTTTTTTGTTTTTCATATTTTAATAGTCTGAATATTTATCTCTTTTATTTTCTTTTCAGAAAATTTTATAGATGTTCTATAATAAGTAAAATATTTATTCTTTAATGTATAAATTATCTAAAACTATGTTCTATATGTTATTTTTGCTTTCAAATATTTGAATTTCAGTAAAAGAAGGATAATTTCACCCTGAGAGCAAAGAATAAACTATCGTGAATTTTCATGTATTTCAGATATTCATATTTATTAATCTTAGCATCCTTTTGTTGCCTTTTTAAATGTAATTTTAATAAAGTATTATTTTAGCTCAGAAATCTCATGCACTCTAAATGCTTAAAGGTTGTCATGCTGTACTTTTTTCCTAAATTATTTTCTTCAAATAATATTCAACATCATAATGATGCCTTCTTTTACACCTCACATTTTTCTAAAAGATATCTTCAATTATTTTACCCTTTAATTTGTTTTCAGTACATCCAAATAAAACCATAAATATATTTTTCAGAATAAAGAGTCACATATTTGATGTAAATCATTGCATCTGTTTGATCTAATCTCACAAACAAAAATGTTATATTTTAAAAGTACTGACATTTTAAGTTAACATTATTTTTTAAAGGGCCTGAGCCTTAGAATGAAAGTACAGATTATCCATTTTGACTCCTTTCATTTAATCATTTCATTTTTAAAATTAGACTTCATTTTACGATCCCAAAAAACCTCACTAATGTACGTGTTTGGCTGTGTTAATTCCCTTTGTCATAAAATGGAAGCTAGCCTAAATTTTCTAATAATTTTTCATCACATTAAAATTCATGGCAAAAATAAAATTGAGATAATTTTGAATTCAAGTGCATGTATTTTTATGGATGCTTTTCCCCCTCTTCTCTCTACCTAAGGAAATAGAGAAATTGAGATTAGAACTGAGTGAAAGCAAGCAGCACTTGGAACAGGAGCAGCAGAAGGCAGCCCGGGCCAGAGAGGAGTGCCTGAGACTGACAGAGCTGCTGGGCGCGTCTGAGCACCAGCTGCACCTCACCAGGTACTCCCGAGTCCCCTCCTGCGCCAGAGCACCCATCTCATGCCACTGATTGTTGCCACCGGCTTCCAAACCGTTGTTCGAGTTCGTCTTAGTCATTCAGTTCACACACAGCTTCCAGGCATATTAGGAAAAGTGGAGATGTGGTAAGCAAAACACCCAGACATGTGAATGATAAGTGTGGCAGGGAATTACTGATATATTACAAAACCTTTCATCTACAGTGCTCAAATATTTAGGAGATTCTCTATCAATATAAGCAAAATGGCATATTTCTCCTACCACCACCGCTGCCTGTCCTGTTATTTCTACGTCTAATAGAAATATTGAACTGGAGGATCCGAGGAATATATTTAGGAAAATAATTAGATACTGTCTGTTGTGAAAGAGACAAAGTAAAAGACATCCTAAGACACAAATTGAGATCTAACTGATACAAAATAAAGAATCTGTGTCCAAAGGTGAGGTAAAATTTAGAGATGAAATTGATTGACACTGTTCATGTCCAAACCGTTATTATAACCAGGCTTACAGCATTGTGGTTCCAAATTACGTTGTTTCTGTCATGAGATATTGTGATGTGATCATGTCGTCATAAAACTTTAGTAAACATAAAGCTCAGCCCTAGATCACAATAACACAGTTTAGGTAATAAGCATTGTGTAATTGCTGTATTGCAAACACACACACACATACACATAAATACACATATGCAGAGGAAAATTCGAGTAGAGATTGTAGATATTTCATGTTACCAAGTGGTTTCTTCTCACCTTGAATTTTAGTACTGTTTTTCATTTTTCAGATCAAGCTTTTGGGTTTATTTAGTTCTTAGCGTTTTTCAGTTTTTACAGAGAACTTGGTCTAAATACACATGTAAGTTTATGAGATTTGATTTGGTTCATAAATTAGACAAACACTGGTCTTCTAATCAGAGTAATATGTTGAATTTAAACTATGAAAGGGGACTGATCCCTTTTACATTAAATATGACAATATAATTCTGAGCACGGTATGATAACAGATGGAGAAAAGCACCGCTTGAACAGCCTGCATTTGGAGAAAAAAATATTCTAGAGGTTGGTGAACCTCCCAAAGTTTTGGGTTAGTGTCAAGATGCCTCTAGTTCTGTTAAAATCAAACTTTGTTAAAAATATTTTATTATGATAATATTCCAAATGGTTTGTCAGCTTCCCTTTTAAACAATGACAGGAAAAGAGAAGAAAGAAAGAAAGAGAAAGAAAATAAATCATTTATATGTGTGTGGTATCTGGAAAAATCTCCATAGATAAAGCACTTTTGTGAGAAAAAAATTGCTTAATACTGTAGAATATTAACTTTTTTTTTTAAGATTGGCACCTGGGCTAACATCTGTTGCCAATCTTATTTTTTCCTTCTTCTTCTTCCCAAAGCCCCCCAGTACATAGTTGTAGCTGTGGGTCCTTCTAGTTGTGGCATGTGGGACGCCGCCTCAGCGTGGCCTGTGAGCGGTGCCATGTCCACGCCCAGGATCCAAACTGGAGAAACCCGGGGCCGCCAAAGAGGAGCGCGTGAACCCAACCACTTGGCCACGGGGCCGGCCCCTATTAACTTTTCTTTTGATGCCCATTTGAAGTATTGTCATTGTAGAACTGATAATGTAATATTAACATAGTTCCTATGGTTATTTAATCTTCGAAGTTTCGGAATTTACCTTTATCGTGATAGTTAATTATTTTTCTTCTCTGTCAGACTTCAATTGAGAACCAACCATTTGTGTGCTGAGCACTACTAAACCACAGAAATCAGACAGCTTTTCATGTCTCAGTGTGGCTGAGCTTCAGTAAATAAATATTGATGCTGGTTTGGCCCCCTTTGCCGTTCTGTCTTATTTGGAGAGTTAATTTCTGAAGTCAGAGTCTGTAGAGAGTTTTCCTGCGTAGAATCTATTTGTACTGTCTAACGAGATGGGTTTCTTGCAAGTAGAGCGTATTAAGATGCAGCAACTGCTGAAAATGGACTAGTGGTAACTAATTCCTTTGTTCTTAAGGAAAATGGTTTCGCTTGGTTCCATAGAAAGCTTTTTCCATTGAGCTTTATTTACACCAAGCCTACAAAAATTTAAACCTAGTTTTATGGAAAATAAAATTAAATTGCCTTCTTTCTAAATGCAATACTCTTTTGTAAGCGTTTTACACTATGTTCATGTTGTATAAAATCCACATTCATAAATTTAAAGATGACAATTATAAATGCAAGGAACTGTGCATCTCTCTCTTTTGCACTGAAAATGTCACTTGGTTGTTGGGCTAAATATTTCTGATATACTTTTTGAGGTTTTTTAGAGTTAGCTTTCCCTCACCATTCTTTATTGATTCAGTAAACTCAAGTGTGTGGTTGAGAAACTGTGTCTTTCTTTTTCAGTGTCGACCAGCTGAAATAAATCAATTCCACACAGGTAGCTCTTAACTTTGAATTGCATATTCTAAACAGTTTAAAATCAAATATGAAAACCATGTTATAAAGTAGCGACGAAATAAGGATCCAAATCTTCCAGGACAAGGAAAACTTAAAAACTGGAGTATAAATTTGTAGATCAATCTGAAAGAAAAATGTCTTATCACTTTTTTGGTATTTCCTGTTATTGTCTAATTAGATTTAAAAATGGAAAAGAGAAATTCAACATTTATTGAAGCACCCAATTGGTAACTATAGCAGTCACTTATTCAACAAATATTTCTTGAACACCTACTGTCTTTTCAGTACATTGCTTTGCCCTAGGTGTAGAGAAAAAAAGAAGACTGAGTTTTTACCCTCATGTTGCTCACACTCCAGTAAGGAGCCAGATCTTTGTATGCAATTATAATAGAGTGTGCGAGTAGTGCAATGATGGGAATAGAGATTCCCACAGGAACACACAGGAAGAAGAATTGTCTCGTTCTGCCTTGGAGATGAAGGTGATGGTCAGAGAAAGCTTTCTGGAGGAGGAGGTGTTTGGTGGCTATCTTGATTAATGAGTTCATGAATAAGCGTCCTCAAAGTGGAAAGAGGTGAGTTGGGTATCCCAGGTAGAGGGGAAAATATATACAGAGACATAAAGATGGGAGAGAACATAAACTCTACAATCAGCTTAGGTGTTTGGCAGGAGATAAGCCAGGAAAGGGGAGCAGGGACCAGAGGAAGGGACTTGTGGGCCATATTCTGCAGTTTTGCCCATTCTGAGAGTAATGCATTTCTCTATAAGTATTTTAAGCAGGGCTGTCAACATGATCAGCTTTTTGGGTTGAGATCCTGCCTCAGACAGGAGTGTAGAGAGTGAACTTGGAGAGCTGATGTAGGAGACAGGAAGACCAACTAGGGTAAAGTCAGCAACTATAGCCCATAGACCAGATATGGCCAGTTGTCTCTTTTTGTATGATTTATGAGCTAAAAATGGTTTGTAAATTTTTTATTGGTTGGGAAAAAATAATCTGTTGTGACACATAAAAATTATACATCCATAAATAAAGTTTTATTGGACACAGCCACAATTATCCTTTATGTATTATGTATGGAACTATCATGGCAAAGTTGAGTATGGTCCTCAAAGCCTAAAATATTTACTGTCTGGCCCTTTACAGACAAAGTTTACCAACCCCTCAGTTAGGGGCTGTTTAATTCAAATAGGAAGTCAAGACAGCTTGAACTATGAAGGATTTAAATGAGTATTTCAAATGTAGTTGAAAGGCAATTGAAAATAGATTGGTTGAGGAAGAGATGATTGACAAGGACCCCAATTAAAATATAAACACAGTAGTAGGGGATGGTAATGAAGTCCTGGGCTGTGGCTGTGCAGGTAAAATGGAAAGGAAATAGCATGTTCAAGAGAGGTGAGAGTTAAAGGTGACTCCAAGGTTTCTAGCCTATGTTAATCCAACTAGGGAACTTAAAAGGAGTAGCAGAGGAAGATAATCTGTTTTATTTTGGAGCTCCAGCGGACGTGTGCAGTGGAGGACTGGAGTGAGCAGGGAGGTCAGGACTGGAGGCTTAGATCTGGTCACTTTTACAGAAAGGTGCTGGCCGTAGCCAGGGAAGTGAGTGAAAGTACGTATAGAGGAGCATGTTTGTAAAGTACATGGAAGGAGGACCGCCAGATGAGGAGACTGAAATGAGGCCCTCAGTCTCTAAGAAAAGACTAAAGAATGCTTCAGAGGAGACTTTGGTGAGATAACAAAACTATAAGCTTTTCTTCCAGGGCTCCCCAGGCATCCAAGGTTTGAGGATCTTGCCCAGTCAGTCACTGTCTCTGCCACTTGTGACCAATTACTTAATTCTTTGAACCTGCTTACCTACCTATAAAATGAGGTTGGACTAGATGATTTCTAAGTTTCCTTCTAGCTCTGATAATCAATGATTCTAACAATGATTTAAGACAATCCATTATTAAGTTCCTACTTCCAGATGTTAGGCATTTAAATTGTTTAGAGTATTCCTTGTTTAAGTGATTCCTTAGTTTGGACTTCAGAGAGATTTACAGAAACGTCCTTCCTCCCTACCACTTACATTCATCATAATGTAGGCTCTGCTGACTGCTCACGGGTTTATGAAGCAGTCCCCTAACATCCTTCCGATAGCTTTGCCCACCACTGCCAAGTGCGTATGCACAAGCACTGCCTTGACCTTGTCACCTGCTCTCGAAGCCTTCCGTGGTGCTGCGCTGACTGTTACGGAAGGTCCACACTCCTCAGCAGTTAAGGTTCTCTGATGGGTTCCAACCTTCTGGTCTTATTTCATCACCACCAGTGTCATCCTCTCTCATGTGATGTGCAGCCAAACTTAAGTAAACGCGGCCCTCCTTGCTCTTTTGGACTTTTCTCCTGTTTGCTGTCCTCTACACCGAGAATATCCCTTTGACTTTCTACAGCCCTGTTATAATTTTACCTTCTTTTCTAAGTCTCCCTGAAATCCTGATCTTTCCACTGTAGCCCTCCCTGATGATTCCTGCCAGAGGGGAGCACGTCTCCCTCTAAATCCTCCTCCCCATG